GAGCATGAGAAGTGGCGACAGGACGACTTTCGCCAACTGCAGCAGAGAATGTGTGGCCGAGTGGGTAGCGAGTCACGGCCACGACTCGGGTTCGAGTCCCGCTGGGGCTGCCGAGTCGACCAGTTCAGGCGAAGGGAAGGCCATGTGAAATTGACTGAAGACGCCAGGTCTGCTCATGTGATTGCGGGAAAGGTCGACTACCAGTCTCTCTCTCTCTCGAAAGCCCGATCATAGACGAACAAGTACTTCAGTTGACTTCGCGACACCATTCAAGAGCATCTAAACCAACCTGGCATGACAAACTGCTTACTTTGATGATAAAGATGCTTTTTCAATGCACACACACACACACACACTCAAACACTCACTCGCCACACTTTCTTGTGTTTATATGTGTGTGATTGTGTATGTGTGTGTGTGACGATGGAATGAGGCCAAAACGACAGGATAAGAATGCATTTTTTGGGCGACCTACTCATCTCCACTTTTGGTTGGCCAAGCTTTTACTCGACAATTAATGAGACCTTCGCAACAACCTCACAACAAAGTAAGTTGGCAAAGTCATGCTTCGGAGGCAAAAGGTAGCTCGCAGGCACCAGAATGATACATTTCATGTTGACCATGTCGTGCTAGGATGCCATCATTTGCCTCAAAATGTCGCATACACCGTCCAGCCGTTGGGCTCAGCTCAACCAACCTTACATCAAATGGAATGGGCGAATTGTTGATTGTTGACAAAACACACAACTTTGCCTCTTCGCAAATGTCATCCCAACTGAAAGTAGTCGCTTTCTTCTGAAGATCGTCTAAAGGTTGGGTCGTATTTTCGATGCGCCATTTCGGTTGCGCTGTTTGCTCCAGTTCCAGTCGTCTCTTCCGTCGTCTCTTCGACGCCAGAAGACTTTCGGCGAAACGGACTTGAGGATCCGGCTTCAAATGACTTTTCACTCGAACCTTGGCTCTCGACACTGCCAGTAGATCGTAGATTCACGAGATCCTATCCGGTTGGTGGTAACCAGGCGACTGGCAGTTGTATTGTCCCACAATCACA